GGCCCCGCCGGGGGCCCGGGGGGGGGGGGGTGGCGGAGAGTGCTCACCAACAAGCACGGCACAGTCTGAAAGACCTGGAGACCCCGCTTTGAGGCTCCAGGACATCTGAGTGCCTTCTTAAGAACAAGGGAGTTTTTCTATGAAACCCAATCACCAGCCCTCAAGGCTGGCCCAATTATAAGCCATAATTTCTGAATGCAGTTCAATCAGCCTATGAAAACAACGTGGGTCTACGGTACGAAGGCAACACCTTTGACAAATGGCACCGTTTTCCCCGTAGCCAGGGCCCTAGCAAGATATGGTTAAGAAAATAGTGAAAACTCAAGGTCCTGGGATTAGCTTCCTGGCTCCCCCAGGCTTTGAGGAAGGACACGGGTCTGCGCATTGGCCCAGCCTCCCCCACACCACTTGCCCCACGCTGCTGGCTCCACCCCTGCCCACGCTCTCCGCATGGACCACCAGGAGTGGTGGTACAGGTTCCTGCTGGATAAGAGGAAACAACTCAGACTGCAAGGCCGGGCTCTGGGCTGCTGGCTGGTTTTAACAAAGGGCCCTGAAAGAGACCCAGCAGGACGAGGAGGACAGGAAGAATTAAAGTGATGGGATTAAGAGGAGACGAGTGGAACTGGTGAGTCATGAGTCATGCTCAATGACAGGAGCAAGAAAGCGAAGGAGATGAACTGGCACTTGTGACTAAGTCACCCTCCTGCTGACTCTATTACTCAGCTCTCAAACCGCATGGCCAGCTGTAATTGCATTTCAATTCATGTTTAACACAAACATAACTTAGCTGGATGCTGGCATCCAATATCCCAGACGTAGAAAGGCAAAAGAGAAAGGAGCCAGCTAACTCGATTCAATGCACCTCCTTTGCATGCCTGGTGGTATATGTATGCACCCAGGCACGGCTGGGTACTGGAGGGGCAGCCCTATGGCAGACGCCTTGCGATGCAGAGATACATATACACCAGCCGACAGCTGTGGTTAAAAAGTGGTAAGAGCCACAATA